TTACTCTCCTCTACGTACCCTACCCTCCTCCCTTCCTTACCTAACCTACCTCTACTAGTACTACCACCTACCTCTTCCTTCCTTCGTACTACGAAGTAGTATCTCTCTCTCTCTCTCTCTCTCTCTCTCTCCCCCCCCCCTTCCCAAGTCCCCCCTCTTTATTTGGGTGAATAAAAACCCCCCTCTCTTGTTCACCACAGAAAATGGATTTCCCAACAACCCCACTGGACACCATGAAAACTAACAAATTGGTGTTTGTATAGCTGGAATGCTTTGGTTTTCAGTAGAAACTTCTCTCTCCCCCCTTTTGGTCAACGTTGCCTCTAGAGCCAGGAACCTCAGGTCTTTTGCACCTTTGCTTAATGGCTTTAGGAGTTTTATCAACAAATTCGAGGAAATTGAGTTGTTTGGATGAAATTTTAGGAGTTTTGATGCAGTGAGATTTTGAATGGGTTTGGTTTTTGTGTCAAAGATAAAGACAGAGGCAGTGGGGACCTTGAATGTGTCCATATGAGGGTCTATCTTGTCACCTTGAAGAACAAACATCGCGGGCATCAGACTGTAAACTGTTGTGAAGGCAATGCCACTTGCCCAAATATGGATGATTCTTACTGTGGATTTCCATTCCTCAACTTGAGTTACCGTGCAGAGCTTCCATGGGTTTGGGGTGCTCTTGATTTTATCGGCCTTCGTGTACACAACTACTTTGCCAGAATTTCTGCAAGTAAAGGAACAAAGTTGTTGAGATTTAGGGCACAAGAGAGAGAGAGGACATGATTCTGCCAAAACGGTTAACATTCTTACAGCGCTTCATTTCCTGTTGTCAAAGGTCTAAAACTCAAAGTAACGCATGGCCATAGAGCATGGTCTCAAGAAGAAAAGCATTTATCTTGCGCATTCGTGGATGTTTAGGAATGGATCCAGAAACCTCTGGTTTTTGTCAGAATCTCCCCTTAGCTTTTATGGTTAGCCAGGGAAAAGAGAGTGCTTTTTCAGGGTTGGGACGATTGGGCAGTAGTAAAGAAGAAATGCTAAATTTTGTAATTTCCATTGGGAATAGAGTCGGAGGAGGTTAAATGTCCTTTTTTTCATAACTTGAGGGATATTTGGGCTTTTGGTGAACATAGAAGTTTATCTGAGACAACAATTATGATGAGGGGGTATTGGACTTTTTTCCCTAGAATTAACTGAATATTGCAATGGGGGCAAGAAATCCAAAGCTCAACAAGTCTATTCAATAAATCAGAACTCCAAGGAGTCAACCTCCACATTCACCTGTCTACAACTGTGGTAGAAGGAGATCTCATGGAGATTATGAGCTGTCTCATTCCTCCAGCACAGCCAAAAATCACCAAAAGGATTGGTCCTTGTTCTTCAAATCCCCTTCCGATGTACAAGGCCAGAGAAGGAATCCCAGAAACATCCTAACTCCAAAAAGAACAGCTCTGGTTACACCTTGGCACTGTCCATAAATCCAAATGAACCTCCCAAAGCCTTATCACCACACCTAAAGAGTTCCCATTGTCATATGTTTCATTTCTCAAACAAACAATCATTACATCAAGCTTCAACATCCCATTAGGGGGACATCTCCAGAGTTCCCTAACCCTAAAAAGCAGCTTAAATACCCTGTAAAGTACTCTACTTCCAAATGAGATCGTCTATCACACCCCTTAAACTCCTCCCTACAAAGCATCCATAAGAAGAGATGTAAGTTGATCCACCCACTCGCCTAGCACTTATACCTAACTTCTTTTGGTCCACTCTTTCCACAATTCCAAAATAATTCTCTCTGAAATTGCTAACTCTAATCTCTATACATGCAAGGCACAAGCTGCATTAGCTGTACCTCATTCAGCCCCAGAACATGATATATGAAGTTTATTAATGCAAAATAGGAAAATGAAGTTTGCCATTGTATAACTCCAACCTCCAGAAAAAATAACAGAGATCAACGTGGAAGTAGCAATTCAGAATATTGTCAAATGCCACACAATTGAATTGATCAAACCCTTTGAAGAAACCACCTATCCAAACTGTATAGTAAAATCACTTAATAGGAATTACCATAGGAATATGTGAATATACTTGACTTTTCTTCATTAACTATAATTGAGGAACAAAAATTAGTGGCAATATAACAGAGACTAAGGTACAGCAAAATTTCTATATTCCAGAAATCCAGATGCAAAAAAGACCACCTATTGTGACTTGGAAATCCAAAACAAAACTGAATGTATGGCAGAAGCTCATACAGACAGTGAAAGCGGCCCTTTGTTCTCACTACAATATAGAATTTAAATTAAATTACAGCATCACAGGTTCTTTGATAATGGAGAGATTATCTATTAAGTTACGCTTTTTGTGAATGTCCAATCAGATAAAGGAAATCATAAGTGGATGTTTCTATGTCAGACTGGATTAGCTGAAAATGCTGATACATTTAAAGTTTTAAACCACTCAAACAAATTCAAGCCAAGAAAACAGCTGGACAATTCCACAAATCCTTATAGCAATTAATAGGAAAACAACCCACCCATCTGCATTATTGTCCAGAAAAGATGTCCACAAAACCAGTCATGGTTTTTGTTCATTGAATTGATAAACATAAAAAAATAAAACCTGAGCACCAGATGTGAAATCATCTTCATGATCCCATGCTCAACCAAGTTGAATATTGCAATCCGCACTGGTTAAATTACAGAACTAATGTCATGAGCGTAGTATTTTATTTCCCCTTGTTGGCTGCAACCTGTGGTTTGGAAATCATGTCGTTCGCCTTTCATGTAAATGCAGCAGTTTGTGGTTTGAATTAAACAGGTATTTTCTGGTTTATTGCACTCACATGACAGTGTCTCACAAGTGCATGCACACATAAAAGCGGGGAAAGGTGGGATCCAAAGAAGTCACCAACCCAAACATTGGTCATCACCCAGAATGCCGCCCCAACAGCACTCAAATGATGGTTTGGGGGGTCGCATCCAGACAAGGACTCAATATTCAATGTTCCCATACCATGCATATACAGCCACACATGCATAAATACACATCCATGCATCTAGAAACACAAAGACAAAAACTGAACCTGATTGAGAATGGAACAAGTTCCATTTAGAGGGTGATAGTAAATCATAAACTATCAAAACTTATCAAATAAAAGTTACCTCAATGATCCTTTTTCTTATGATATCTTCGAGGGATGCAGTAACCTCTTCTGTGATCACTGGTGCAGGTTGCATATTGTGTTCAAAGTCTAGATCAACCTCAAGTGCACTATTCTTCGGCCGCCTCGCAGCTGTCACCTGGAGTTTCCCAACCATCAGAAACATTAATATTAAAAGCAGGGTGATGTAAGATAGCCAGGCACTTTCATACAATGCCACTAGTTATCATCATCAAAGCCAAATACAGACCTCTCCCTGCATGGTCCATGACTTGGCTTCCAAGTTTGCTCTTTCCAACTGCTCAATTCTAGAATGGATCTTCTCAAGTTGTTTTTCATGGGTAGACATGGTTGCTCTCTCCTGCAACAAAAACCAGAAAGACACAAAAGGCCCAAATTCAGCAAAGCTTAACTTCACCATAAACGAAGTATAAACAGAACCAAGAGCTGAGATTAAGATTGCATAAAAGCTACTGCAAATTCATTGATCAAAAAACAGGAAGAAATTTAAAAGTAATGACAAGGCATTTGTAAGTCCTAGATTACAGAAACTTGCCTAAAAATACTGAGTTCTAGAGAAAAAATATTATAGAAAAAGACACGAACAAAACCAATTCCCATGGCAAAAAGACAGGATCTTCACTAAATTGGATTTTTTACTTTTTCTTTTTGGATATCCAATTAGTAGAGCCATAAAGACAAAAACCTGGTCATTGATGTGCCCATTAGCATCTCTTTGTAACCTTTCAGTCTGAATGTTTCTGTTTCCATCAAAAGACCCAGCCCTTTTTGCTGACCCTTTACTCTTCTTCGGACCAAAAAAATCTTCATATCTAGGCGAATCAAAATTACAATGCTAAATTTAAAACCATAGCTGAAGTCAAGAAAATAAATCAGTATCCATAAATGGCATTCCAATAAACAGAAAACGGAAAATGAAAACATAAAGAATAATTGAGAAGCAATGGCTAAATGAAGTCAAAGAAACATTTGCATTAGTTTCCATGGAACACTAGTGTTCATAACATGGAGAAAATGAAGTTCAAGGTGAGGCAAAAAGCTAATGGCAGTTCATCCATATCACCACCATGCATCCCCTGAGAAGAACAGATATAAAATAAATGTCTTTCTTCTACTTGTTAAAAAGAAAACTATTGTAGAACACTCACATGGACATCGGCAACTTAAAATATACGCACAGAATAAAGTTTGTCAGAGATCTTAAAAATATTCACCATGATAGGTACACAGATCAGGCTTGATCTTAATAAGTTAAAATGCTAACTTTTGCCACAATGCATCCCAAGTTCAAATCCTCAACTACCCTGGATTAGCTACTCAGGTTGACTTCTTCTGAATAAGCATAAATCTTTGGGTTTTTTTTATATTTGTATGCTCTTATATATAGCAAGCAAGAAATTGTTAGCAAAGCCAAATCCTCCAATAAATTGGTCCATTGATATGTGGAAAGTAATCATGGCTCAACTGCTCTCTTTTTTACCAGAAAGGATAAAACTCGTTCAAGAGCCAAATGGAATACATCTTCAAAGAAAGCAACTCCTCCAGATGCCAAGAAATCTCCAAGAGTCAACATAAGAGTACAAAGACCAAAGGGAAAAACAGTACTCATGATCCAAGGAAGCTACAAGAGAGAGCAATCGAATTTTTATTTTTATTTTGATAAAGTTAACCTTGAGAGCATTGGAATGTTAAAAACAAATATGGTTTTCCTCAACAAAAATCATATCTAAAGAAAATCCTAACACAATATTATTGAAAGCAATGTCATGCAGTTCACCTTTTACTCATTAATACCAAACCTTATATATTAACAGAACAAACTAACACTGACCAGAATAGAATTTCCAGAGATCCGAGATTCCCATAAACTTCCTTTTCCACCACTAAGAACAACAAACTTAAAAGATACACTTAGAAGTTTAAGTCTCGTACTCCACACTGCATCAATCCCCTAGGTTGGAAAGAACTCTATGCTCACGACTTTGTCAGAATTTCGAACATATATTACAAATAGTGATGCAACTTATTACTTTTCCATCAAAAAAGCAAAAGAAATAGTGACTTTGACAATTCTAAAACCTATCAGCACTTGTGCTAATTTTACTTTTCCGTATATGCTTTGAGGTCATTTGAACTTGGTCAATTGGATAGCAGCACTATCGTATTCCATAGTAAACACACAAACTTTTGCTTCTTGTCGAATCACTCCCTCAAATCAAGGAACTTCTTCAAATCCTCAACCAATCTTGAAACTTCTTTAGATTTAAATGCCCAAAGAAATTTGGGACGTTTGCATGAATCCCATGACCTCCACTTCCTTCGAGCATCTATCAAGACCTCAGATAATGCAATCCAGGACATAATAGTTGGAAATGCCTGAGATTCTGAATCATTTTAGGAATAAGAATCGCAGAATCATGGCTAGCTAGAAGATTCTCATTTTAAGAATCAATGTCCATACAAGGGGAATCGCGGGAAACAGGATTCCTACTCGATAGGAATCGAGTTTTAACCCAACTGGAATCAAGATCCCTACATTCATGGAATCGAGATTCCAACCGCTTTCGAATCTAGTTTCTAGCCTGCTTCGAATCGACTCGTATGGAAACGAGTTTCCTTCTTATATGGAATAGCGATTCCGACATCTTTGGAATCGAATTTTTTATTTATTTGGAATCAAGATTCATACCACTTGGGATCGAGATTCACGTCATTGGAATCGAGTTTCGACCCACATGGCAATCGAGACCTGAAGAAGGGTTCCATAGATATGAAATCAATGTATTGAGTTATTGACTATTGAGCCTTCGACACGGAAGTAAGGTCAATTAATAGACACACGTAGTCCACTAGGGAAATTGTCTATAAAAGATACAAATATTATCGTTTCTATTTTTTAAATTGGATTTTGATTTCATTATTATAGTTCAACATAGGACTTTGTTTGTGCTATGTTGTTGTTTGTGTCGTAGTTTGTTGTCGTTTGTCATTTGTTGTAAAAAAGATGATTGCATCTTGTAAACATGAGTTCTCCAAAAAAAAAAAAGAGTAGAAACCGCATACAAATCGAGGGCTATGTGCCTTGTGATAATAAAGGTGAAGATTTGCAGTATTTAATTTATTTATTTTTTGTTAATTTTTAATACAAGAACGACCAAGTTCTCTTGATTTGAATGCTCCAACACCCTAGTTACACCTGCCTTTGTTACTTGCAAAAGACAATAGAATAATACATGATGAATACTTCTTAAATTCCCAACATTTGCATTTGGAATTAATTTGTGTCACAAATACTTCAGCATTGTGTTCGTCGGATTATTATTTGGAGGTGGGATGCCACAATCAATGAATTACAATTTTGTCCACCTATGAACTGAGTACTTGATTTTGCGGAATCAGAATTCTAAAAAAAATTCGAATGGAGATTCTATGAAGGCGGAAGCACGATTCCATGTTAATTGATTCGTAGTTCCTACACCTATAAACCCTGGTATGCGATGCTGTGACTTCCGAATTATTAAAAAAATAAAAATAAAAATAAAAAAAAATTAAGATTCATTATATGTGGAATCGGGAATTAACAAATTTGGAATCAAGATTCAATAAATGTTGCAATCGAGATTTGAAAAAGTTGGAATCGAGATCCCATACATGCTGGGATTGAGATTAAAAAAGAGTTGGAATTGAGATTCCTAAAATAAGGAATCAAGAATCCTGTTCAAGGAAATGGGTTCCATGAAGATTCCTAGGCTGAATCGCCGAATCCAGATTCCGAAGCACAATAGTGACCTGGCTTAGAAGATCTGATAACTATGATCCTGAAATCTCAAATTCCCTTTTTCTTTTCATGAGTATAAAAAGGCACCCTTGGGTTCCCCCAAAACATTCTTTCTAATGGATTCAGAATAAGAAGCTCACCATAAGACCCTCAGAATCAGTAGTCAGGATTGATGTCATAGGTTTTTTATTTTTTCATTTTACTATTTTCTAGATTTTTAGGTTTGGGATTATATTGGGTATTTTAATCTTCTTTAAGAGTGTTTGTGTCTCTCCTTTTTTTGGTCGAGATTTGAGGGGCAAAATTGAAAGATTTAATATTAATAAGGATTTCTTAAGGAGCAAGTTAGGCCTTGGATTTCTTTATTTCTTAAATTTGGAACTGTCAGATCAAAAAAAATGAACGATTAGAAAAGAGTTCGCTTTTGGATCCTGTTAAGAGATCTTTTTGGGGTAGACTCCCTTGCAGATCCTGAAAGAAGGTATAATCTCCCTGTGTCCATTGATATCAGAACAAATATGATCCAACCACCAAAATGCCACTAAAACCTAAGTTGGCGATCAATGATCGCATGCCACAAACTATAGAAGGTATAACCAAAGCCATGGAAGATATTCGAAGCAAAATTCGCAAAGTGAATCAGCAGTTGCAGCTGTTGGAAGAACACCATTCATCGATAAGTGGGTGCTTGAAACCACACACGCAGATCTGGCACCAATAGTCCCACAACCAACTCGGGGTGCCGATCCTATATGTAATGAGCAAATTGTGATTCGACGATCTGAGGAACATCCATGAAATCTTGATATCAAAATCGATCTGCCAGAGTTACATGAGGAGCTTAAAAAAGAAATCAAGATTATGACTGGTAACTTAGAGTTCCCTTGTAAGCTGCAAATCAAGTATATGATTTATGGGTTCATTGAAAAAGAAAAAGTACCAAGAGAAGTAGTAGGAATGCATCACTAACTACTGGAAAGAATATTAGAGAATATGATGAACTTGACAAGCACGAGGTCGAGTTTTTCCCAACCTTCGCAAAATGATGAAATAGAATTGGGGTTATATTAGGTTTTCTTAATCTTATTTGAGGGTGTTTGTCTTTTTTTAAGTAGATATTTAATGGGTAAAATTGGAAGATTTAATATTAATTAAGATTTCTTAGGTATTAGGTTTCATTCTTCCATAAATATGTAATTATTAAATCAAAGAAGAAAAGTTTATTTTTGGATCTTGTGAAGAGATCTTTTTGGGGTGGACTTCACTACAGAACCTGATAGAGGGTAATATATCAACCTCAACCTTTTATTATTAGTTATTTTACTTCTTTTTCCCCATCTTCCCAGTGGCAAGGATTTTGTCTTATGGCACACATTTAATGGCAAAGGATCCTTTCTTGACTCTCTTTGACATTGTAGACTCTACCATACAATTATAATGTGCTCTAACGTACATAGTACACAAGAAATCCTTAAACCTCCTTAGGTAACACCAAAATGATCAACATTCTGAGAAGATTTTACATGCTCCTAAAAGATTCTTCAAAAGCATGTACTCCACACAATTCCATTATTTGCTCCTCCTTCGAGGGATTCCTATCTCTAAATTCTTCAATAGAAATATGTAGTATCTATAAAAAACAAAAGTTAAACCTTGAATTGTGCCCTCATAACTATGGGGTTTAACTTTGGGATGATGAATTGTTGAAGGACAAATGCCTCTTATTTTTAAATTTTTCTTATCAAATTTTAGGGATGTATTGTAGGAAGTTGTAAAATTTATTTTTAGGATTTTTAAGCTTTTTAGGGATTCTAGGATTTTTTTTTAAAAGGATGTTATGAGTTGCTTAGAAAAGTAGTTAAAGTGATTAAAAAACATATTGTTTATCAAGGGTAGAAATCTCATTACGATGTTTTTTTTAATTAGGACTTCTATTTCACTTAGAACCTAAGATTTCTTAGGTTTTAAGTGAGGTCTTCTATTATAAATAGGAATTCTATTAGGGTTTTCATAATAGAGACTTGAGTTCTTAGA